CACGAAAGCCGGCTTCCGCCCCTGCATGGGGGGCGGGGGGGAATTACTTAAGTTTCGATTTATAAGTCACCTAAGCTGCCCCCCAGACCCGAGGGCTGCAGGTCACCTTCCTCCTCCCTGATGGCTGGGCTTCCTCAGCTCGAGCGGGACCTTTTGAGAATATCCTGGAGCCTTCTAGTCTTGCCTGCAAGGCGTGGTGGGTTTATTTGTGCGGAGAAGGAACGGATCCCTTAATGGGGTGAGATTTTTCCTCCGTGCATTGTTCCCATTTCCGCAGTTTCACTTGGCCTCGGTTTTCTTCCAGAGTAATGCACCAAATGAAATTAGCTGGAGAGCATTTTGATGGCGCAAAATCATAGCTTGCAGATGTTTACGCTCTATGCCGGACGCGTTTGATAGTGTTCTCTTTGGCACAATTAATTTTGCAAAGTTCAGAAATGTGCCAGATTAAGCCCCTGGCACGCAGTCACAGGGCCCTGCAAACACACCTTCGGTGGGAAGCCGGCTTGTTTTGTTTCATCTGAGATTTATTTGATGCGCCAGCACCAAGGCCAACGTGTTTTTAGACGTTTCGATGAAATTCCTAAGTAATTTGTAAATTGGCAAACGCTTATTTTTTTAAAATAACTTTTCCCTGTTAATATTGTAACTCTAAAATGGACAACAAAACACCATTTGTGTTTCACAAGATAAGTCCCTACTAGTGTGCTAATGCCCCCTCTATACATGTGCATATTTTGAACACTAAAACTAAGTGCTTTACATTATCCTAAGACAGGTCATTTGGTAAACATGTTTCTGTTAGGTGCACCTGAAGAGGCAAAATACTGCTTTTTTGTCATCCCATTCTTGAGTCTTTAGTGGTTTGGGAAATTAATCAACAGTGGTCCCATAACTTTTTTCCATTAAAGGCCCACAAAACTATTCTAATTTATTTTCAAATCAGGAGAAAAAATATTTAGGTTTAAGAAAGTGTTTTAGTATATTTTAATATATGTGTCTTTGTCCTAATGCAATTTCAAAATGTAATTTTTCAATTTTTTTTTTAATGGAGAAAGGGGCTCAACCAAAGCAAAGATGTCTAGAGTCATGTTTGGGGTTGAAAAGTCCCTCCCTGTTTGTGACAAAAATAAAATCATTTTAAGCATATTTATAAAATGCGGAATTACGTAGCCTTGTTTTAAATACATTTATATATATATAGAGAGAGAAACAGAGAGAGAGAGAGAAAGAGAGAGAAGGGGAGGAGGACAAACATCTGCAATAATAATTAATGGTGGCTAGCACCTATTAGATACACAGCATATCTGGCATTGCTCATTATCAGCTTTTTTTGATCTTCACAATATACCTGTGAAAGGGGTACTATTCTAACACCTACAGGCAGGGGCTGATGCAAGTTTTATAAGGCTTGAAATTTATGTAATTTGGGACGACATTTTTAAGAAAAAGTGACGCTGGAGCCAGCAAGTGGCATGGCGGTTGGAGGCACTGAACTCCCCACATGGCTGACGACAATTTGAGTCTTGGACCTGGTGGCTTTCTCTTGCTCTCTCTCTCTCCTTCTCTCTCGTTCTGTCCCTTTCTGTTCAGGTTAAAATAAGTAAATAAATAGATCGATAAAGTTAAATAAAATAAAGTTAAATAAAATAAAGTTAAATAAAAAATTAAAAAAAATTAAAAAAAAAAAAGAAAAAGAGACACAAAACAAATACAGCATTCCCAAGCTGTGCTAGCACCACCTGACAGGAGGGAAAGTGATCGATGGAGGGAAAGTCCGATTGGAAAGAGACCTCATTTCAGCTGGCCATGGTTAAAATAGCTTGCGTTTGCAAATTATACAAAAGCACGTGACCTCCCAGAGTCTTGGATGGGGGTCCTACAAAAGGCACCTGGGAACTTAAGCTGTATGAGCGTCATAAACCTGCTTCTAGTGTATTCCTGTTTCACAGGTAAAAAACAGGAATTGGCCAGAGTGTCTAAGGAATGCTGTATTACCCTCATATACTAACGTATAGTTTGAAGAATTATTGTTTACACACATTTTCATGAGAAATAATACATTTTGATATTTCTGTAACAGAACAAGAGCTTTACAAAAATGTTAGCAGGCAATGCTCTGCAAGCCTGAACCACATTGGAAAACTCCTGACTCGTACCTGGAGACCTCCCTAAATCCTCCAAGTATGTGCATGCCTGTGATCCACGACTAGCTGAGGCTGGGGACAGATCGCAGCATGTGGACCCTGTTGGGTGTGCATTGTCTTTCTCTTATGGAAGAAATAAATAAGCTTTAATATGGGCTAGCAATATCTTGGTTACAATCAGATCAATAATCAGTTTGGGGTGCTTGATATGTGTCTGCTGTCTGTGCTAGAGTAAATTTTTCTTATGGATTGTATAAAAATGTGAATTAGCAAGCCAGGGTTCTTAAAAGAATTTCACTCATTTCCAGGTACCATAAACTGGCAACATTTCGATTTACCTGTAACAGACCAGGCTATGTTGTAAATTGCTATTTGATGTTAACAGAAACTTTTTGCAATTTCATGAGATGATGCAAAGTAAGTATCAGAAGAAGAATTTGTTTGCTGTTTGAATGGTATGATACAAAGAGCCTGTCATATAGCAGGTCTTTACAGATGTTTGTCACACAAATAAAGTAATGAAATTTAAATAACGCATAGAAGTAAAAGTGTAGATTTTGTAGCACACTAACATTGAATGAGAGTGAATAGCAAAATGTTGAACTCTTAAGTACTTGCTGGACAAGCAGAGTCAGCTTCTTGGTTAATTATTTTGTGTTCAAAATTATTGGCTAGTCTTGTTCTTTTTCTGTTTTGTTCATTTCTGTTTTTTTTTTCTTTTCTCATTTGAGATTTCATTTGCAATGCTTAAATACAAAATAATGTTTAAATGAAACAAAAATCATGATCACCCCCCTGTAATGAAAATTCTGGAAATGAAAGGCTGTGGTCTTTGAGAGGATTAATCACACACAAAAGCAGCAAACTAGAGATGATGGTTTTTTGTAATTAAATTACCTATAATACATCTTGGCCCTTAAACAGGTTTCTCCTGATGGGCAATCTAATATGTACAGTGTTTGTCAATCAGCCAGACAAGATATGACCTTATTCCTGGAAGAACTTTTAGACCCGAGTAAAAGTCTGCAAATTAAGCATAGTTATTAACCAGTGAATAGTTGAAATGAATGAAACTGTTTCCCATTTTAAGTCTGACTGATGAATGTAGATTTAAATTGGTTTATTTAAGAGCACAGTTTTGGACAAGATTCAAGTCTTTAATTAGATCCCTGTAACAAGAAGACATATGAGAGTAATCAGGTAATTTTCTCTAAATTTTATATTCTTTACCCAAAGTGGTTTGGAATGCTATTTCAGGGGCACAAAATGTGATACACATGATGAAAGATATTTTCTGACCAGGATTCTGTTTAGAATATTCTTTTTCAGATAAAATAATTTCAGAGATGTTATGTAAAATATTTTGATAAATTATTGTATCCTTAGCACAGCCCTAACAGGATTGCATTTTGCTTGTCTTTTGTTTATTTATGCTGTGCCTTCTTCCAAAGGGGACTTAAGGTGGTTTACAATGAAAGACAAATATTAAAAAAAAAAATAGTTGAAGAAACTGGTTGAGACAAACAATAGAATTTAAGCACAAAACTTAGCTTAAGCTCCCTTGTAACAGTGAAATAGGAGAAATGCAAGTTTTCCTAACCATCATTGTCAAGTGGAAGGATCATGCTGTTTCATTTAGGACAAAGTCTTTTCCAATCCAATCTCTGAGAAGAATTTCTCATAAGGGTTTTTATGTGAAGGATATTCAAAAGTCCAAGTTAAAACAGACACTACATAAAAATAATTTTAACTCTCTTTTGGTGGCAGACCAAGCTCATATATATATTTTTTTTTTTCTGGTGAATAACTTTTGAAATTGCTATTGTTGAAAATAAGTAGTGGGACCAGTAGTTAGCGTAATGGCTATGTCACTG